CAATCAAGCAGGGTTCTTCAGACTAATGGTGAACACCCGGTACATAGCTAGTTGGAGATGTATCTATCCAGGTAGAGTAGGTACTCCAAAAGGGTTCATTAGGTGCCAAATATATCCCATTGTGCTGCCGCCCAACCAGGTGCTAGAGTTGGCTGAAGAATAAATTAGAGGGTTTGGTTTTCGCGCACAACGGGTGGAAGGAGCAAGGGGGAGAGGAAACACGCCTTTCCGAAACGGGTGATATTAGGGGACGGGAGAAAAGAGGGATAAAAGACACGGAACGGGAAGTGAATGCCTCGTTTGAGGCTTATTTATAGTAGGCGACCAACCAGACCCTGCACTGCGAGGATCTACTACCGAAAGCAGGCAAGAGGCGGCGGCTTCTAATGACGTTCTACCAGGAACAGGAACCAAGATTTCTTTCTTGCGAAACTTGACGTCCATTGATACTTAGCCCAGGGGTCTCTCATAGTCTATCGACTACTGTACTTGCAAGGTTTCGCATAGGGTACGAATAGTAGCCAGAGAAAGGGCATTGGTCACTCACCGCAACCTCTGGTAGCCGCGGACAAGAGTAATACTCTGCTTTGGACCTAGAGCTAGGACAGGGCTGCAGTGAATTTTAAGGGAAACGACATCAATGGAGGGTTCCATTGGCTGTCAACACCCCCATGACCGCTGCACTATGACGGGCAACTTCAGGCCACAAATTCCCCAGGCGGCCGATCTTGAGCAAAAGTTTTGCTGGATAGACACTTCTGGTTGGTTGATGCTATTCAGGTTTAGTGAATAGTAGTGATTCAGATGTGGTTAAATATGGACACCTCTGTCTAGCTAGCTAGAGCTAGGGTTATTTGGGTTTCATGTCCTCCTTCGTCCCCGGTCTCCCCCATCAACGAGATTTACTTATTAAGTCCAACCAAAGTCCACTTCTTTCCACGGAGACAAGCCAGGAGTGTGAGAAGTTGGTACTTTTTTTCCTTCTCTTTTTTTTTCTCTTTTTTTTCATTTTTTTCTTTCATTTGTTTCTTGACTGCTGGCCAGATACATTCATCTAACGACTCTTTTTAACGGAAAACAAAAGACACACGTGCATAATTTAAGAAGTTGAGCTTTTCAATAGTATTTGGCATTCTCGTACAACATACACCGGTACTACACTACCTCGAATTCTATCACGACGATACTACCACCTTGCCGGCCCTAAATTATAAGTCGCCTCCCAAAACGCTCCAATTGGCTGAGCATATTTTTTTGTCCCTCTTAATACTCTTTTTTTCCTTCCTTTCCCTTCTCTTTCACCATGTCTGGAATGCTAGATACTACAACCCCCCAGCGTTTCGCTCCTCATTACAATAACGACCCCATGAACAACTACCCCACCGAAGCTCCCAGCTACGAAGACGCCGTAAACTCAAAACGAAGAATGCCCTCAACAAACCCAAACCTCACGCCCTACCTGGGTCTCCAGGCCCGCCTCTCACAAGTATGGTTCAACAGATGGACCCTCCTCCTATTCTTAGTCCTAGTGCGTCTTATTCTTGCAACCAGATCGCTCGAAAGTGATCTGGTGTCTGCCCGGGCAGAAGCTCTATCAGCTTGTACAAGTGTTGAGAGCATGGGCTCGGCCATGGCCTCGATGCCGTCGTATATGGCGGCGGGCGTGAACGAGCTCGCGGCACGGAGTATCGAGACGGGTGTCAGGGCGATGGATGAATCGCTGCTACTGATCATTACGGCTGTCCAGGAGATTGTTGTATTCGTTGTCAATCTCCTCACATCAACATACGTGTGTTTGATCACCTTGGCTGTGCAAGGCTCACTGGGAGCTGTACTTGATGCCACGGAGAAGATTGCAGACTTCATCAACGGTACGCTGGATAAGGTACTGGACGGCGTTAACGGTGATGTGCAGAAGTTTGAGGGCGGGTTTAATAAGCTCGTTGATACGATCAACAATCTGCCCACTTTTCTGGGAATGGATTTCAATATCCCGAAGCTGGATATCCCGTCGTTGGATGGGCTGAAGAATATCAACATCCCCGACGAGTTTGATAGTACTCTGAATTCTATTAGGGATAATATCCCGACTTTTGACGAGGTCAAGGAGGCTGCTGATAATGCTATCAGAATTCCATTCAAGGAAATCACCGTATGTAATCCTTGCTTCTATGTTTGTAGTCTGTGTGTCTAGAGCTAACTGTTATTTCAGAAACTTGTAAATGAGTCTATTGGAGTCTATGAATTTGACCGCTCTGTATTCCCTGTACCACCAAAGCAGAGACTCACCTTCTGCTCCGACAACAACTCCATCAATGACTTTTTTAATGGCCTCGAGGGAACCGTCGCAACAGCCAAGAAGATCCTCATCATCGTTATCGTCATCCTTGCCGTATTGGCAATCATCCCCATGGCATACCGTGAAGTCTGGAACTGGCGTACCACCCGTTCTCGTGCTTACATGATCGCCGACCCCAACCACACCTGGGACCCAATAGACATCATTGTCATCTCCTCAAGACCCTTCTCTTCTACCGTTGGTCTCAAGGCCTCTGGCGTCTTCCAGTCTTCCCGTAAGCAAACACTGGTCAGATGGGCAGTTGCATATGTCACCTCCACACCCGCCCTGTTCGTGCTCTCACTCGGTGTTGCTGGCCTGGCCGGTGTTGCTGCGCAATACATTGTCCTGAAGCAGGTTGAAAAGGCTGCTCCCGAGCTCGCTGCTGAAGTTGGCGAGTTTGCGGATATTGTTGTTAAGTCGCTCACTGCGGCGAGTATGGCATGGGCTACTAAGACGAACGAGGCAATTAACAGCACGAATGCCGATTTGAACAGGGAGCTGTTTGGCTGGGTGGTGAATGGGACTGATGCGGTCAATGACACTCTTACTGTTTTCGTGGACAAGATGTACGACGGAGTTGACACCCTCTTTGGGAAGACTCCCTTTGCTGAGGTATGTACACACCCGATTCCTTGACAAACTTACCAATGTACTGACGTTGTTTCGAAATAGCCAATCAAGGATGTCCTCAACTGTCTCGTCGGTCTCAAGATCAAAGGTATCCAGAACGGCCTCACCTGGGTCCACGAAAACGCCCATATCACCTTCCCTCTCCTCCCCAACGACACCTTCTCCCTCGGCGCCGAGAACTCCATCGCCCCCGACGCCGACGGCGCCCAATCCTTCCTCTCAGATACCTCCTCCGTCGCCGCTGACAAGATCACTGACATCCTTGTCAAGCTGATCCAGAAATGGGCATCCATGCTCCGAGAAGAGGCAATCCTCTCTGGCTGCGTCGTCGCTGTATGGCTCCTTGTATGTCTCATCGCCATCATCCGCACCGCTGTCCTATGGTTCGGAACCGACAAGGTCCGCGGCGAGATTGGTGACCAACAGCCAACTGCTGCTGTTGGCGGAGCGAGAGCCTCGCCGAGGTTCCCGTCGTTTGGCAGGTCGACGAGTAATAGCTCGGGCGGCTCGGGCCCGAAGGACCCGCGCGACTATAATGATATGGAGGAGCAGTACAGGGGCGAGCTGAATGAGAAGGCGGACCCGAATGATTATGTCCATATGGGCACTGTCAATAGTAGGGTGGCGGGTTATGGGAGGGATAACAGGATCAGTGTGCATCCGAGTTTGAGTGTGTCTTCTTCTAGGGAGAAGGTATAGTGTAGTGGTGTGTAGAGAGGCTTGTGTTTTGAGGTTTTATTATACATGCATAGCCTTTTATGTACTCGTACGTACGTTGGCCATTGCGGGCCTACTTTTTATTTGTATTTTTATTATTTTTATTTGTATAGTCATAGCGTTGCATTGAGCAGGGCGGTATTAGGAGTCTAATAAAGTTCGTTAGTAATTTTGAGTATTTTTTCGTGCCTTCTGGTGGTTGGGTGCGAGGTTCATCTGTTTCTGGGAGGTGTGCTTGTACTCGACTGTCGACGTCTGGTGAATACAGGATCCCGCAGTGGCATGCACACATACCGGCCTTTATACTCGTAAGTACAACAGAGTACTCATGTTTGATATATCTCTATTGAGTTGCAATCAACCACCGGGTACAAACACCACATAGAATCTTTGCAAAAGCCCGCGGGCAGTAAGTAACCCTTCGATGCGATACTGTAATTTGGAGGTATACCCTGCCCGACCGGCAAATCCACCCATCCGGAGGGAATTTGACCCGCTATGCGGTGCGGTGATGGAGTGGAGTGGTCTTAGTATGGATGGACCAGGATCGAGAGGATGGTTCCCGTGGGTATATGCCCTTCAATTGGGTGCGGGCCTGACCTTTTCTTTAGCTGTATTAAATACGGACTATCGGTTTTTACTGAGAGTATGAGCATAAGCTGAGAGGGTGGCCCACAGCAGTCTATAGAATCAGAGCTGGCCGACCTGTAGGAAAGAAAGGTCGACCTATTTAAGCTCAACACTCGTGCTTATGCCTCCAACTTTGGTATTGGTATTCCAGTAACCAGTACTCTATACTATTATATGCTTATCGCCTAATCAAATTTCACTTGACTACAAAATATCCGGCGATTGAAAGAAAGAGATGTCAAGTCTCACGTAACCCTAACCCGAATAACACCGAACTATATGCATCGAGTGATAATTCATGAATCATATGTGCGATCAGAGTAAATACATGTAGCCAATAGTCGTATTTTACATTTCCTACTACCTACTCTAAAACATTAAGAAAAGAAGGAGCTACGACTAGAGTGAGTAAGTACAGCTAGATGTGATGATATTCGTAAGTGTTTTTTTCTTTCATTCTTTTTTGTCGTTCATTCCAAATCGTTAGTTAGTCCCACTTCACCCTCCCCCCACACTTGATAACCCATGGCCAACAATACCCCGCCTCCCTCACGCCAGCCCGCAATCCAAGATATGTAAATAAACAAATAAAAAATCGGTCCCCAACAAATAAAAAAACAGTACACGCTCCCGTACACGCTCCCGTACACACGACGCCATTTTTTTAAAACGAAAAAAAAGATCAGTCCCTGATCATCCTGACCAAAAAGTCCTCGAAGTTGCCATCCTCTACAGCATCCCGCATGCGCTTCCCTAGGTCCACTTTGAACTTCTTCTTGTAGGCCTGCTTGACCCTCTCGAGATGGTATGGATCCCAGTGCACACGGACGCATCTACTGATGAGTAGATCTTCTCTGCCGCTTTCTATCAATGCCGAGAGTGCCTGCTCCATCAACTTCGCGTCTCGTAGAGGTTTGTCAATTGCTCCGTTGATTACGTGGAGTAATGTTTCGCCCTGTCTGTTGTGTTAGTTTCTACTAGGCTCTAGAAAGAAGGGATATACGCACAACAAGGTTCTTTGAGTGCCTCATGATTGCTTTCGGAAGATCTCTCCCATGCGTGTTTCGATATAGCGCGGCCACCTCTCGAATCCATGCATCACTGCGGTTTACAATGATCTCAATCATCATTGTCTCTCCACCGCCCCTCCCGTCCTTCCGCTCTAGCACCTCCCCGAGCCGTCGCACATCATCCCTCACGCCATCTACATTGATTCTGGCGCTCTCCTCCATGCGCATGCCCTCCAACTGGATCAACACTGCAATTCGGAACTTATTGGCAACCAACTCGTTACGCACTGCTTGCATAAGTGAGTTCTCGTACTTGGCATCCTTGAACCCATCCTTGATTTTCCGGATCTCATCATTTGTTTTTCCCATAAGCGCCTCGATAAGGAGTTCGTTCCGAGTCTCGCGCTTTTGGTACCAGCAGTTGGCGAACCAGGCTTCGGATTCGTAGGGGCCGAGTGCGACGGCGAAGGCAAGTTTGCCGAAGGACGTGTTAGCGAAGACAGTCTTAATGTGTTTTGCGATGTTGACCTGCCGGAAGATGCGTTTGTATTCGCGGCGGAGCAGGACAATTTGGGATGGTGAGAGAGTGGGTAGGATCTGAATTAGTGGTGCCGCAGAGGGGCGGAAGTGCTTGAGCGAGGAGAGAAGCTCTTTGGCGTCGGAGGACGGATCATATGGTGGTGAAGGAGGCCGCGAGGGAATTACAGGTGTTACCTGGATGCCGTGAGATGGGTGCGAGGATGGACCAATTGAGAAGCTGCCATCGGAACCGTAACCACCACCGGTGGTCGAAGTTGTTGTGGTTACAGTGGATGTGGAGGAGTAAAACGAGGAGCCACCAGAAGGTGAAAGAACTGGTGAAGGGAGTGGAGATATGGATTGGTATGTGCCGAAGTAGGGTTGCAGTGACGGTGATGGTGGAGGAAGACCTCCAGGTCCCAGGGGGCTGGAGCCAATTGAAAGACCTGCCATTCCAGGAATTGCTAAACTACTCAGTGATGTGGATGTGTAGGAGTCTCCCCCAGAACTGCTTGTTCCGCCGAGTACAGAGAGATGGGGAGGCGGTGGAATAAGAGACACTGATCCGGAGCTGCTATGCCCAGGTTGGTACTGCGAAGATGGTGGTGGTGGAGGTGGAATCTGATAGACATTTCCGGACGAATCAGCCTTACCTGTTGATGGTATTGGAGAGTATGAAGGCTGCGTAGTATAGTTAACATTTATCGACGACGAGGACCCGGTGTGCTGGTGATTGGAAGTTGAGGCTGCAGCAGATGCAGCAGTTATGTCCCCGTAGTAATCGGGGTTAATATATTGCGTAGGGGTTTCTCCTGGCGGGTACTGCCCGACACCAGCTCCGAATCCTGGAATTGGAGGCCCGTATTTTGGATCTAATGGCGGCGGTGGCTGTATGACAGCAGCTGATGCTGTCTGGGTATATGGGCCTGGAGAAGGTGGAGGTAGCGGCGCAACGTAGCCGGAACCTTGAGAGGGAGGCGGGTATCCGTACCCTGCTCCAAATGGGGCCAATTGTGCGCCATACTGTTGGCCTGATTGTGATTGAGGAGAATATACTCCAGGTGAAGGAGAAGGTGCAGCTGGGGGTGGATATTGACTTGGTGGTGGTGGAGGTATCATTGCCTGCCCTGATGATGCTAAAGGATAGTCTGTTTCCATACCGACCATTAGAGAAATTCAGGAAAAAATGAATATATAGAGCTACAATAAAGCTATTGCGCAGACAGAGCCAGGTTCAGCTCGATTGATCGACACCAATCAGGTTACCGAAACTGCAGCTGGCTACATATATGCTTGCGCAAAGGCTCTATTGCATACACCGAAATAACTCATCAACTTACTATACTGCGGCACCATGTATGGCTTCCCACCAGCGCCACTCTCCGAAGAAAAATCCGAGACAGGGCTGTAGTGAGCTGTGGTTGAGTGCCCATGCCCATATTCCGCTCCCGAGTTTTCGGAATAGGACGTGTGATACCCGGCAGCACCACCTCCGAACTGAGCCCCAACCCCGACATATCCTTGGACGAACGCCGTGAGACCCCTATCCTCTCCCTTCTTGTCTACGCCGCGACTCGTATTGCCCTCGTCGTCAGACCCTCCCTTGCTGCTGATAAATGAAAATTCGGAGCCAGCTCGGGACACCGGACGCTCAACCGTCAATCCGCCTGCACTCGAAGGCTTCAGCTCCTTGCGCTCCTTGCGGTCCTTCTTCGCCTGCTTATAGGCCGCATATTCCGGCGTTCCTCTTTCTGGCTTCGGCATTTCGGGAATGTCGTATACGAAATCAAAAGAATCGGTTGAGGAGACTGATGGTGAGTACGGAGGGGGGATGTCGCGATGTAGATAAGGAAATAGTGAGTAGGTAGCTCTATCGAAAGAGTACTGGAGCGATAGCACAATCGACGACAAGTTGAAGTCGCGCACCGCCAAGTCCGAAGATAGCAGGGATAAATTGAGGCTCCGCTGTGTTACAGTGAAACCGGCTCCTCTGAAGGGTGACTCCTCGTTGCTCATAATAATGGTTGGGGAGGGTTCCGGTTTAACTGGTACACGTACTTACACGTACACAGCATGAGGGGGACGTGGGGGGAGCGCGAGCGGGGAGGAATGGAAATAATGATATAATTGCTACAAGTGGAGAGGATAATCAAGACTGAATGCTAGATGTACAGAGCGGCTATTGACACATCACGGAGGCGAGTGAGATGTTGTGAAGCCAATCATTGCACGCGACTGTTACACACGTGGTGGTTGGGGACTTGGGGGTTGACACAACTGAGCTGAAGATGAGGAAAGTGCATCACCGATACAGCAAGGACAGACGGGCAGACACACACGCAGCCGCCAGCATAGGAAGGGGGGGGATTCAGAGCGGGGGGGGGGGGGGGGGAGTGCCAAGATCAGATGTTGGAAGTGGGCATGTTGATGTCGTACTCCAGGAACGAAAATCAAGATCAGAGGGACTATCGTCGATTTATGTATGCGGGAGTTGGATGTTGTGCGTGCAGGATAAGTCGACAATGCCTCGAAAGTATTACTGGAGATTTCCGGGTAGCTGACTGAGTGGACTGACTGACTGAAGCCGGGTGTTGGTGCCTTTTTGACAGCTGACAGACAGATACATTGACATCGTAGGCAAGCAGATACTCCACATGGCGGAAAGCTCAAGGGTGTACAATTGTACAACCAAGTCCTTTGGTTCCGGATGACGTGCAAATATAAGGGACACTTGGAACAATAACTGCATGAAGCCGTGTCCGATCTCATCTGCAGTGCGTTAGAGACCGGTTTGTACCAAAATACTGAGTTTTGCTCAAGGAACGAATAAGCAACAAGAGTGCATAGTTCAATGGCGATCTGTCTTTGAGGAACCGGGTACATAAGTTACCACGAGTATTCTGTGTTTCAGTACAGTAGACATTGGTAAAAGGCACACCACGTGGAGTGGTGTTGAACAATTCTTTTGTAGCGTATCTGGTGTTGTCACTTCATCCTCGGCTGGGCCTCGACTTTCAAGCATCATCCTCGGTCTGTATGTAAGATAAGCGAGGCCATCCCTGTTATAAGATCTGGTAGAGACTGTTTTCTCTAATTTTTAATTTTTCGAAATTTCTCTCTTGAATCTCGGGGATACATATGTATGAAGAAGGAGCAACGTGGTCTTCGAGATGGAAGATTGTTTATTGGTCTGGTTGTTGTTGATATTAGACCCGCAGTTAAGCATGCCTAGAATTATGTAGCTATGTCCTATTCTATTAGCCCGATTTTCAACTAGTTGGTAGGAAATGCTCTACTACTTACGAATTTTGTATCCGTCAGTTTATCACTTGACTGGCCATCTGGTAGCTTGTGAAGAGCAGCCAGCTTGCATCTATAGAGTCGGTAGTTGATCAAAGACCAGCTTAAAGGTTGAGCGGTAGCCGTTTGGCGATTGGCGAAAGGTAATGTAGGCAATATTTCATAGAGCGTTATAACGTTAGAGTCGAGTCTGTTTAACTTTAATCCACATGCACCAGCAACGAGGCGAAGGGTCAAGAATTACCACGGCAGCCTATGTTTGTTCCAAACGCCCCACAAGTATCTGTGACCACTCATACCAAAGGAAGCCTGGAGTGGAGACATGTATGGAGAAGAGCTCGGCCGTCGGATCTGATGAGCAACATATATTGTATCGAGTCTGTTTGTTCCAAGGACAGGGTTAGAGGTTGGCGGAAGATCTAGCAACTCTGAGTAATCACCCGCGATCTCAATCTTATAATTCCTGAACATTGTAACATTATCTCTAGAGATGGAGGGTTCAAGTGTTGAGCGGGTATGGTGAGATACGAGTCTTTGAGTTGTCATGTTATATCTGGAATCATCCCTTCACCTTATATGTACTGCAGTGCACGGTGGCATACATGCAAGTTGCGATTACGGGGCCAAGAGGGAGATTAAGGCGCCGGCCGCCTAGGTCTGTTAATCAATAATTCCGCCAATTCAATACTGATGAAATTGTTTGTTAGAGTGCTTAGTAGACTATATAAAGCTAGTACATAAATTAGCCCTGCGCATCTACATGTTCCCAGTAGTAGTACATTGACTCTTCAATACTTACGGCTTCTACAGAAACATTTTTCTACAAATTTGTTTCACGAATTCACTTCACATTTTGCGACCGCTTCGAAGTTTCGATATATACACTCGTTGAGCTGTAAAAACTATTCTCAGCTAAAGAAGAATTATCGGAGGGATACTCGAAAAGACTGCAATCTTAGGGCCCAGTCCAGAATCTTTTTTATCGATACATTGTTCCTTAACTACATGTATGTATATGATGTTTCATGATTGTACGGACATGCATAATATGGTGGTTGATCGAAACAATAGTTTGAAGATATACCAAAAAGATATATTTAAGTGTCTACATGTACTTATGGTACGTAGTGCTATGCATATGCATATATCTGTTAAAGATCAAGATAACGAAGAACTAGGGGTGGACCAATTTTATAGATCATGATCAATTTAGAGTTAAATACATCTGAGATGAACTAGTACTTGCGGTGGCGGGATCATCGGTAAAATAAGCAGTATTATACCATATAAACACCTGGTATTTCCAAGTTGCAATCCATGCCAATTGCATCAATAACAATATTGTGACTGGTTGAGGTAGAATCGAATGTGGGGTTAATCTTATGGGGAGAGCGCCAGATATATCAGATATATGTTTATGGAGTGATAGTAAGTTAATTAACAGAACGTACGTAAAGTTTGAACGTCTGCCTGTCATATCAGTTCTAAACACTGAGTACACTCGTTTTCAATCGATCCTGACGTCTGGCCTGAGTGTGCGTTTTGATCGGGCCCTAGTTCTGTGGCAACGCAAAGGCCACATGGCAGAAAATTTCTATTACATGTTTATACGCCTGCTTAGCGAAAGTCTGATTTTTCCACTTCGTCCTATATGACCCGCAGTCTCATACATGACGTTCATGTAGGTCTCCGTGCCAAGTAGGGTAACGGGGTTATTGTATTGCCTACATACATGTATTTATCTACAGCCTAAAATATTCGTTCTAGGGAGTATATTCCATCACGATTCATGATTACCCTGTCGACAAAAGGTACCGAGCGAGGATTCATGATTACAATTATCGAGTCGAATATTTAGATATATTTAATAACAAAAAATCACACTTAAACTCTGGGTGGTTGTATGAAAATGTAGGCTTAACGTACAAAATCTCTATCTTAGAGTACAGTACTTAAGCCAGTTAGGGCATAACTGCGAATTAGCTCGTCGCGCAGTGCCCTACACACTCCACATGCACATGTACACTAGACGACAGCCAAAGTTATATACTGCTGACTGAAAATACTTTTCGTGACTTGAGTTACTTTCTCTCCTTCAACCTCACGAGAAAAAAAATTTCAACCTTAACCTAGTACGAGTTCTATAATCTTAGACTCGTTCTAGTCCGAAATACTTTTTCTTGATCTTGAACTCAACGTCGTTGACTTTGATCGACTCGATCCGGCCACAGCAACTTTCCCAATTTTCACATTCGCAGCCAAGACTGGTCATAACCGTACCCCGCCATTTAAACAGTTAGTATTTCTCCGCATCTCCCTAGCCGGCCATACAAGAACATAAATAAAAGCTACAGTTTCATATACTATATGTACATCTATAGCTAGCTGCTAATAATTGCAACATTTGAGCCTTACTAAATATTCACCATCTATATCTAGTATACGCAGTTTGTCTCGTTTGTGATCTTTCGCCCAATCCTGCTAGAAGGAAAGAAACGCAGTGTGTAACCAACTATTCAATTCGTCAGTCCATGAGTGCACACATATTTTTCCAAGACTTGTTGAAGCTAATCGACCCCAGATCTTCGACGTCCTAATTTGACCTTGAATTGATTCTTTTTTTTTTTCAATCGAGCCAGTTAGTCTTTACGATACATGTACCTTACGGTTAATTAACATAGTAGCTAATGGACTACAGGTGCAGAGTTTATAATTTACGAAACCTAATATCAACAGAGGATCCAGAACGTTCTACTTCCACTGAATTCAAATTACCCGCCAAGTTCTTAAGTCAGTTTATCCATACGTACATATTTCTTTCAGCCCACAGAAATTAACCAGCTGACAGGTACAGGGTTTACGAAGTTATCCAAGAAATATCTCTCGCTGAAATTTACCATCCGTGTGAAGTTTCAGGTCAGTTGGTCCTCCATGCATATCTATTGCAACGACTATTGAGACTAACTTAACAAAACTAATTCCAGATAGTTACATATAATTTTGCTTTGGTTTTCTGTAAACAGAGGATAACGTTAGATAACAAACAGAACGCCATTAGTGAGTTTGATCTGCACCTTAAAATCCAATTATTTTTTAGAAGAATTCTGAAATCTAATCAATGATCAAAGAAGTATCTCAAAATGTCCACCACCACCGGCAGCTTGGAAGCTATCAGAGGTCGCAAATGGATTCACCCTGCGGTCCAAGCCTTAATTCTTAAGGGCCATACCTATCCCGTTGTTGAATACATCGACTGCTTGTGGCATAAGCCTGACCCGGAAACAGCCAATCAGATGCTGGATTATGTAACTGGGGTCCTTAGACCAGTAATGTTTTCAAACGGATATAGGCTCGCAAGCCTCTGCGAGTTTTATCCTGTGGATACCAAGATGACGACTTTGGTCCGCCATGAAAATGACAAGATGGTGGGGACCACCATCTTTGTCCGTCTCCGGGATGCGACCAGTGATGAAGATTTTTTAGACCTTGATGACATAATCGACTCCGTGATTATTGAGCTCGCGAAGCTGAGATTTCCCAAACCGGGTCAAGCCCGCGAGCATCAGAAGCTTACTCGTAAGCTTCAGAGCGAGTTTGCCGCTTTTAACGAGCGGCTTGAGATCCGCCGCTACAAGAGGCCCGAAAATAATGGGAAATTGGTCGATATGGTTAAGTTAGGTGCCAGGGGCTTGTTCGAAAAGCTCTTCAGAATTTTTAGGTAGGGATAGGTAAGGGAATTTGGTGTTTGGGAGGTGTTGGCTGGTCGATATACTGGGGGTAATTATATATATTAATCAATCGATTGGGCAACTAAAAAATGGGTTCATATCGTGTTTACTGTTTTCTTCCTTTTTTCTCTGTCATATATTCTCATTCGCAGCCAGGACTGGGGGCGACGTTGGTGATAGATTGCCTTAATTGTTGGAGTTAGGATTAATTATCATACATGTGTGAAGTTTCTTGGAGATATATATATATATTTAAGGGGAGATACCTTGGTGGAAAATAAAGTTTCGAAGAGTGTCGTTTTATATCACGTCAATATCTTAAGAGCTTCAGCAAGTTGGGAGCTTAAATCATGAAAAGAAGGCTTAAGGGGAAAGGGGCGAAATATACTGAGGAAAGGACGTTGAGAGACTAGACCGCCTAAAACAGACCTTGTCTTTAGATACAATAGAATTCGGATATATGTTTCCACTCCTCCAAGAACCCAAGAGAAACATCTATACATATGGTCATATTATATAAAAATCTGTTCTTAGTGTAAAAAAAATGAAATGAAAAGAGAAATGGCGGGAAAACGTGGGACCGGCGATTTTAGGTGAGAATTTGGGTAATAAATCCCCCTACGAGCTCCCAAATACCCCGCCAGACGAGGAACTCAATTTCTACTAAAATTTCAAGGTTATAAAGAAACGTACCGACTTGATCATCGACACCTATAGCTACTAATCAATAGCAATTCTGACTAGCGCAGTTTAGTCACCAGGTGTTACGAGAGTGCACTAATCACAGAAAGGAATTGGTAGATTATTACATGTAATTTCGATTATGCTTTATGAAAATATACGTTGCTACATCATAGAGCCGCCCACAAAATCCCTCGCAAGTACCAGCTAGAATCTGAAAACGAAATAAGTACTACATCCGCTTAAAGGCGAGTTGAGTTCTGCGTGACCTGATATTCACTCCGATCCGGTCTTTCTGAGGCACGCAATGCCATATATTCTAGCTAGTTTTATAATGCCTCTAAGCTGCGATCTAACTAGCTGGGAGGCCGGAAACACCCACGAACCCGGATCCTAGCTAGAGCTGGTTGGGCTGCTATCCGCCCGCTCTCACCCCACTTCATGAACAAAATCTAAAAGACATTACAGTTAAAGACATAATGAACTCTACCGGTACCACCATACCACAACCCCATGAAGCTTTAGCTATAGCAGGGTCCATAGGAGAAATGCATATGATCAGTACGTATACCGGGAATGCGCAAATAGAAGAAATGTCAGAAATGAGCGGTTCACTTAAAGAATCTCTACTGCCCAAATACGCAGATATTACTGCAAATCTCCTCAGTAGACCTATAAAACATCTAGTCCACGTACTAAACAGCTCCCAAAATAAGAAAGATTTCACGCTACTGGCCAATCTTGCGTTAGAAATGCACAAGTCTTAACGGCTCGGCACCTTTCAGTATGCCATTTGACTGAAATGGACTAGTAGCTGCGCCGTTTATGGTATGTTGTTTTTTCCCGCTGTTTCTGAGGCGTAGATTCGAGACTAATTCTATTGTGAGAATAGGTTTGTGTGTTGGCCGTGGTCAACACATTCATATCTGTATCAGAAATTCTGACGTCGACTACTCTTTTAAGAGTTATGAAGAGATCGTCAAAATCGGTATGGAACGACATTCTCAAACCGGACATCGGCATAGACGGGCGCGTCGCGGTCCGCCATTGCGGCGACATCTTCCGGGAGCGTAGAAACATAGTGTATTTTACGTGCCTATATATAAGGGTCCGCAAGACCGGGGTCCTAGACTGCGAGGCGAATGTATGGGCCTCCTGTCCTTGCCGCCTGTGGATTTATTTCTACTCGAAGATGAAATGGATGATAATGAGCTTGAGGGCAATCCTCTTGTTCTTCCGCCAGTGGTACCTTGTCCATGCAAGTTCTGCCCCGGTCACCCAGCGGTCTAGTCTTCGGCCACCAGTCAATTATGTTGCTACCCTTTCTTTGCGTTTGTAGGCTTGGCTTGTCTACGTATGCCCGCGACAAGGGTTTGTTTTTCTTCTCTCTAGATCTATCTGAAGTACATACAGTACCAAAAAACGGGTGGGGGTTAGTACGGTAGTACTACGCCATCCCATAAAATCGGGTAGCACTCCGGTTGTCGAGCGAGTAAAGCCGCCTTGCAGCAAATGCTCTATCAATGCCGTATCAATACTGTATTATATAATCTATATATTCCCTGGATTCCGCAGTGTGGGTGGTATATTTATACTGCCCTAGTACTTCCGCATTTCCTAAAATACGGCATTCTTGTGGTATTTAGGACAATGCCATTCCCCTAACCCTGGAATATCATATTTGGTGATGAAGCATTTCAGAATCAAAGATCACCAGATATTGTTTCATCCACCGATCCATCAATTCTTATCATCCTAGGATGGGGTTTAAACAATTGGGATATACTTTTGAAAAATAAATTTTGGGCTCTTAGGCATACATATACACATCATTTTAATTAGAAGTTGCGCCTACTATTCGATTATGATACGCTCATGTTGGTGGTGATGATGATGATGATGATGATGATGATGATGATGATGATGATGATTATTATAATGATGAAGTCGTATAGGTGTGGTCTAGTCTTGTAACATAGTGTCGACGAGCCTACATGTAGGTGTGGTCCTGGTCATGGACCTGGCGTACTGGCACGCTAGACCTGGTGCTGGCACACTGGACATGGTGCTGGCGCGCTGGACCTGGTGCTGGTCACAACGCTAAAATGTGTCTATATTGCTGTGGTAGTGCTACGGTATTGCTATGGTATTGCTACGGCATTCTATGAAAAATATACTCCTTGAAATGCCGAAATGATGCAGCAGTCCCGAAAATACCGCATTGTAGCAAGACTACCGTAGCACTACCATACTAATCCCTGCACCATTTTTGGTATTGTACTTAGTTGCTGATTCTCTGCAGGCTGTGGTGGTTGCTTTGACGGTTGTCTGGCAAGAAAGAAACGGAAATTTAAAGGGGGGGAATGCGTTTCTTAATAGTTATGTATATCTTCTGCTTGATTCTTTCCGTAACTAATGCAATTAATAATCTGATATCCTGCGTTTCATAACACCAAGTACTAGTAGCTACTTGTATCTAGAGTAGGAAGTTTTTTAGTTGGCGGTGCACGTGGTGGTGGATGCATGATGTCTTTAGCACTTTTTACTAATTAACGATTTATGCACTACAGGCTGTATGTAACGAACCAAGACTTATGGCCTGCGAGTGACCGTCGATGGTGCACTAACCGTGGTACTATTAAAGTTACAGTTGCAGTCCGAATTTATCAGTCTAACGTTATTGGGAAATCCAACTAATGTGTCCGGATTTGTGATGGCGTTGAATCTTTGACTAGGCGACATGCTCGAGCACTCGGTTTTTATTATCTAATCACAGCGGGAAAGGATCTTTCGTTTGCAGTGCGAGAGCTAGAGACTTTCAACGCATTCATCGATACGACCGAAATTATTGCTTTATTTACGAAGAAAGGGCATCTCCAAGCATACAATAAAATTATCATATGTATGTGCGTATGTATGTATGTATGTATAACCAAAACTTTACCACGTCGCCGATTCTTTACCAAAGATTACAACCTACAACTTCCACTTCACCGCCGGCTCATCGACCAAAACAGCTTCAATGATTTCTTCATGTTGTCAGCCGTATTCTCCAGCAAGGTCCGCTGGTATCAAGAACTCACCTGAAGACGGCGGACCGCCCGCCTCGCCCCACTGCTTCAACCTAAACCTTGGATCGGCCTGCGCGAATATCTTTTGGACATCGGCAAACGTCCTCTCCCTCGCGTTCATGATCTGGATCATATTCCAGTTCTATCGCACCCTGTCAGTTGCATGTTTTCACCCTCATATCAATCCTGCTTGCAAAGATACTGCTACTAACCTGGTTAAACACATAGCGGTGCTTCGGGTCCGGCATTACATCACACTTCGGAATGATCCCATCGGCTACCAAGATGCGGCTCCCTTTTTTCATCGCCGGCACGATGTTCTTCACAACTCTAACACAGTCCTCATCGCTCATGAAATGCAGGATCATCCTCATGAAGTAGACGTCCGCTGGTATTGTCATCTTCTCAAAGAAGTCCACCACGCGGTACTCAAACCTATCTCTCAGGTCCACCGGACAGGTCTCCTTCGCATCTTTGACGGCATTCTCCAGGTCCGCCAGCACGAACTGCAGCTCGGGCGCCTCGTATGCAATCTGGTGCGCGATATGCCCGTTCCCGCCTGCCAGGTCGACGAAGGTGGATTTGCCGAGGGAGCGCCAGGGGTAGACAGAGCGTAGGCGGGCATAGGAGCTTTCGGCCATGACGCGCATGATCTTGTTGAAGCGCGCGATCTGCGCAGGGTTCTCGAGGAGCCAAGGAAAGAAGGGGGAGGATGTCTTGTGCCCAATGGTGAAGGCGGTTTCAGTGGGCTTTGTGGAGGCGGGCCATTTGCGCATGGCTTCGGAGACTTTGAAGGCACTAGGGACTAGGACCTCGTGGCTAGAGGGGGTCAGCTTAGTGGGTGATCAAGAGGGCAGAAAGAGATACCAGTGGCCGATGAGGAGTTCGGTTTCTTCGCGGGCGAGGTAGACGGAGGAGCTGTTGTGCGCGACTGAAGGGTTGTTAGTATCTTTCTTTCTTGATGTATCATTGGTACTTACAGTATCCTGGCTTCAACTCTACAAAGATGTATTGGGTCGTCAACATTCTCAACGCCGAAACTATTCACATATCCACATTAGCTGCGGCTCTCAGCGCATCAATAGAGGTACCTTCACAAACTCACCAAGCTTGTACTCGTCCGCTGCCGCCCCCGCCCTCTTCGCAATCTCCGAAATGTGCATCGGCGTCCCGTCCAACTCCAAAATATGAGCAATCTTCCAATCCACTACAAGCACCAGTGCCGCGCACTCGTTGAACTAC